GATAAGAAAATAAGTAAATAGACTTTTTTAATTCCTCAAAAATGAATTAAAATCTTCTTCATTTATTAATAGTATGATTATGTAGGGACAAACTGCTAAGGCCTCTATATAAAAATCACTGTGGATAGCATGTAAACAGTGAGCTTGCTGGCTATAACAGCCATATAAATTTGAGCAATGAAAACAGTGGACTATAAAAATTTTTAAATACCATCCACAACAGCATCTAATATTTTTGAAATGTTTAATATTTAGGAATAATTTAGTAAAATATATATGAAATCTATACACAGAAAATTATAAAGGTCTACTGAGAGAGGTTACAGAAAAGCCAACTAATTCCATATCCCCAAGCTCACTTAGGACTCCTAAATTCATTGTAATCTCAATAAAAAGAGTGGTGGAATTGTTTTTCTAAAAACAGAAACTGACAAGGCAATTCTAAAATTTGTGTGGAAATGTCAAAAAAAACCTATTGAACTCTTTGTATTACCTGCTATAAAGCTATGGCAGACAAGGCAATAGGATGATGCCATAACCACTGATGGGAATGGGGAAATGATGGGGAAGGCAGATGTCTCAATAAACAGGGCTGGAAACAACTGGACATCCATTCAAATAGTAAAAGTCACCTTGGTCAAAATAAGTTCAAACTAGTTCACAGATCTAAAAGAAAGGAGGTAAGTTAGAATCTTCCTTGGAAGGTTGAAATATTTGGCAAAAGTGAAGTTAAGATAATGGCAAATGCTTCCACTAAAACATTTACAGAATGACACAAAATGGTCAAAAAGTACTTGCATGCACCTAGAAATGGACTAAGGGAAAACATATATAAAGAAGTGTTTAAGGCACTGAAAACATCTGAACTTGAGACAATTACTATCAGAGTCCCTATTACTGCTTAATGCTGTCCCCATGACCTGTACCTCACCTACTCTGAACAGTAGTGCTAACCAAAAATTAGGTTGCCTGTGTCTAAATGAGGCAGGAAGGTCGGGTCAGCTGCATTTGACTGTGAGTCACACAGGAAGATTAATCCCAGGAACAAGCAACTGAGAAAGACCGCCCTGGAGAGTCTCTTAGATTGTACAAACAGGGAAAATATAACCACAGTTGGGAAGTAAAACTCAGTGCTCTAAAGACAAAAAGGGTGCTCTGAAGACACATGCACACTAACCAAAAAGAGTACCCCAAGGTGACTTTTGTGACATCAGAAACCATTAAGGGCTAATGCATAGGGACTGCAACCTATACATATCACTATAAAAGAGAAAGCCATAGAATAAACAGTCACTGCGAACACAATGATATATAACCTAGAGATGTCAATCACCTGAGTCAAAGAAGGATCCACCTTTCAGGGAATCCCTCGATTCACTTTTGTATAAAAGCCTTTGTACTTGCTGGAACCCACTCCCGCGCAGGGGAGCCTATGTCTTTGCTTTCATAAAATGTATTCCTTCTTTGCTGCTTTCCTGTGTCTTGCTCAATTCTTTGAGACACAAAGACTGGATACTGCATCATGAAAAATTCCCCATATCTCTTTCCAATAACATAAACACACAAAGGAAAACTTGGTGATAAGTCAGATAACAGAAAATCTACTTATTTTATAGACAGTGTCTTGCTGTGAGTGCAGGCTAGTCTTGAACTCACAAACCTGCCTCAGCCTCCTAAGTTCTAGAATTAGAAAATCTTTTTTTAAAATTTTATTTTATTTTATGTGTATGTGTGTATTGCCTGCATGTAGGTAAGCGCACAGGTGTTGTGCAACGCCCATGGACAGAAGCGGACAGAAGCGGCTGTCGGATCCCCTGGAACTGGAGTTATGGAAGGCTGTTAGCTGCCATGTGGGTGCTAGGATTCGAACCCGGGTCTTCTGCAAGAACAGCCAGTGTTCTTAACCGCTGAGCCATCTCTCCAGCCCCAAGAATTAGAAAATCTTAATACATGAGCCAGAGAGAAAGATAATCAAAGGGAAAAAAATGAAGTCTCAGAGGCCAAAAGAATAACTTCAGTATTTCAGACATTACATATAATGGAAGTTTTAAATGGAAGAGTGGAAATCCGATGAACAGAAAAAGTATATGAAGAGATAATGCCCCAAAACTCCCCTAATTTAACTAATCTACTGAAGTTGAGATTGGTGAACCCTGAGTAGGATAACACAAAGTATTAAGGACTCATACACATCATAGTCAAACAGCTGAGAGCCACAGTTAGTGGGCAAGTTAATAAGTGACCAAATGAATACAGAGAAACCTTGATAACAGTAAGAGAACTGCAACTCTTCCCATTCAGGAAAACAATGACATGAGTAATTGCTAAGTTCACATCAGAAACAGACTGGAAGGCAACAAAATAACATATTCAAAATAAGAAAAGGAAAAGGATTAAGTAAGAATTCTATATCCAGCAAAACCATCTTTCAGAACTGAAAGCAAAATGAAGATATTTCACCCAAATGATCTATGTATGAATGTCCCATACAGAAACCTGTTTTGTAAGACAATTTAAAAATAAAAGCACAATTATTATTTAAAAATAACCATTTTCCATCACCTATGCAAGATTCTTGAATTTTCTGTTGGATTTATGAATAACCAAACTAGTTTTCCCACTTCCAACAATATTTTGGAAAATCAGAGCACTCTATTCTCCTATTCAAAGCCTTCTAGTTGGCCTTCCACATTCTTAGGATGGAATCATACTTCCTGTCATAGCTAAGCATGCCAGAAATAACTACTCCCTGCTGCACCTCTGCTGCCATGCTTTCCTTCCCTCTGTAAGATTTAGTCCACTAAAATTCTTATACTTTTCAAAGATTCCATACTCAATCTTCATTCTGAATTTGTGTGTTCCCTTTGCCTAGTATGTGTTGCTGGCAGACCATTACACAAGGTTTGCTTTCAAGAAAAATTTAAATTCGTTATTTGTGTGTGTGTACCCCACAGTGTGCTTATGGGGGTCAGACAACAGTGTGGAGTTGGTTCTCTCTATGTATGTAAGTTTTGGGGATGGAATGCAGGTCACCAGGCTTGCTCAGCAAGCACTTACCCACTAAGCCCTCCCACTAGCCCAAGGTTGGCTTTATTTATTTTATTATTTATTTTTATGTGTATGAGTATACTGCCTACATGCATGAAAATGCACCCATATTGTGCAGTGCCCGTGGAGGTCAGAAGAGGGGTCAAATTCTCCTGGAACTGGAGTTATGGACAGTTGTTAGTGGCAATGTGGGTGCTGGAAATTGAATTCAGGTCGTCTGCAAGAGCATCCAGGGCTCTTAATGGCTGAGCCATCTCTCCAGTCCCAAGGCTGGCTTCTTATTCAGGTAGCATGTCCTCTAAGAAGCTTGTACTGATCACCTATGTCAGTTTACCTTGGCCACCACCATGTCCCTCAATTAGCCTTTTTCAAATTTTGTAATGGCACTCATGAATATATGAAATTTCAAGTTCATTTGTTTACCTGCTTATTGTTCAGCTTACTCATCTCGTTATCACTGGAATCCAGGGCAAAGACAGTATTCAAAAAGTTATGGATTACATATACATATATGTGTATATATGTATATAATGTATATTTCAAATTTTTCAAAGGTTTAAAAACTTTTTGGTCTCATTGAGAATTTTATAATTGTCATATTTTATAATTTATTACATCTTCTGCTTATTTTCTCAATGATGAGAGAAAATGAAAAATTTTCCTAAGTTTGTATTCCTTATACCTATCTAAATCTAAGTGTGAGTTACTTTATTTGTAAAGGGAAGCAACAAGATTACGTACTTCAGAGGGTTATTGTAGGACAAGAAGAGGGTGGGTAGAGAGGAAGCAGGGAAAAAAATCAAGGGAGGCAAGAGAGGAGAGAGGAAAAGAAAACAGTAAGTAAAAGGAACAAACACCCTACAAAATCCTCTTTCATCTATTAAGTTAGAAATGCACAGACCTGATCAAATTGTTATCCTATTAACAATAAATATTTATTCACTTTTCCAGAGGCTAGTATGCTAATAACAGAAAAGCTAGTTAAGATATCACACATCATAGCCCAGATACCAGAGGCCAAACAAAAAACTTCTAAAACTTGGTTAAGAGAAAGTTCTGAAGTCATAGGGAAAGGGAGCCTCAACATTACGTAACACAACAGACAAAGCTGCTGCACACTCAGGTGCACACAGGGCAGCCTACTCACACACGTTTTTCCTGTAACAGGGTCTCACTAAGTAGCCCAGGCTGGTTTCAAACTTGTAGTCACTCTGCCTCCACTACTGCTGTGATCACAGGCCGTTCCACCTGGCCTGGTTCCCTCACATGTTTGAAAGCCTAAGGAACTATCAATTTGAACTATTATCGTAACTTAAATCCTTAAAAGCTGAAACTCAAAGATGAAAATATAACCACAAACACTGACTCATCAAGAGTATTAAAAGCTGCTGGTGGCACACACCTTTAATCCCAACATTCAGGAAACAGAAGCAGGAGGATCTCAGAGACTTTGAAGCCAGCCGGGTCTACACAGTGAGTTCCAGGCTACCCAGGGCTACAGAATGAAACCCTGTCTCAAAACATCAAAAAATAAAAATAAAAGCTTTTATTAAATGAAACTCTTGCAGTAAGCATAATGTAAACTTGCACTACCTTTGTGGCCGAATCCCTATGCAGAGCAACCAAAACAGTAATAAAACAGTTGCCCAATGAAACCAATGCACCAAACACTTGAAAAATCTTTTCTTTCAACAACTTCTTACAGAGTAATTAGAATGAAATTACCCATTTTTATTAAACATATAAGCAATCTTTCAGTAAGAGCCAATAAGATTAAAAAAATACAATTATTTCCTATTGTGATTTCAGTGTTGATCTAGATACTAGAAAATAGTTTTAAATGTTAAATTTTATTCATGAAATTTAAGTGGTATTTTGAATCAGTATTTTATTTTAAATAGAGAGAAAAGCTTTACTACGCAGAAGGATTTTAAGTTAGATATTTCACTTACCAAAATGCAGTCCACTTTAGATTGTACAGTTTTGCTAAAAGAAAAGAAAGTTAGGTTAGTAAAGAACAAAGGATTTACTAAATTTAAGAAACACTCAAACAGATGCTATAAAAAAATTGAAGCTTCTTTTTAAAATTAGGCATTGTGATTGTTATAACACCTAATAAGGTACAAACGCAAGTAAATCACACAAAACGTTCAGAAACTTTACGGTCTTAAAAGATACTATATGGGCCGGGCAGGTGTGGTGGCGCACACCTTTAATCCCAGCACTCGGGAGGCAAAGGCAGGTGGATCTCTGTGAGTTCAAGGCCAGCCTGGTCTACATAGTGAGTTCCAGGACAGCTGGGGCTACAGGGAGACCCTGTCTCAAAAAGACCAAAAAAAAAAAAAAAAAGATACTATAAACTAAATTATTTTCTACAAAAGGTCTAGAGCTAAATAGATGTGAGCAAAACCTGGTTATTTGTGATATGGCAAGTGAATATCAAAATTTAAGTCTTATTTCAGTTAATGCATTCAGCTTCAGAATTTTACACCTGTACCCAGATTTCGAGTTTGTAAAAATGACGGTGAGAACAAAAACATTAAACTATAATGGATTTAAGTTTAGTTGCAAAGTTCAGAAAGAGGTAAAGAAGAAAAGCAACATACTTCTAGGTAGGCAGAACTGAAATTCCCTTTCCATAATCCTACAGAAAGTCTTTTATAAGTTTAAAAAATCTCCTTAGGGGGTTACCTGTATGGCATATCATACACAGACAGCTACTGTGCACTATTTTTCTTAATTCTCAATTCCTAAAGTAGTCCATGAAATCAGATGGTAACCCATAGATAAAGCATAGCTGCCCAAAAGTAACATAACCAGAATCATCTTTCACAACCTTGGTTGGTTTAAGCCACCTTTGTCTATGACTATAGCCTTCTAACTGGTTTCTGCATCTCCGAAGTTTGTATCACGGCCTCTGCTGTCTTCCTGGTCTCATCTTTTGGTCTCCTCTTCATTCTTTTAGACACAGTTGCATGGGCCTCCATCCATGGTAGCTCTTAAGGCAAAGCCTTAGTACTGACTTTTTCTGTCAGTCCCTAAGATTTCTCCCATGTAACTTAACCCTTCATTTTCTTCATGACTCTTGCAGGCTATCTTTTGTCATATAAAGTATGCCCAATCACTACTGCTTTTACCTTTCTTAACTTTTCATCAATGTACTGATCATCAGTCATACTATATATACTGTCTTCCTAACGGCAACTATCATTAATCCGATGTGCAACTTTTATAGTTGTTTCAATAATTAGAAATACAAATATCTGGAAGCAGCATATATTATTGATCTGTGATGCTTTAAAATGTTTACATAAATATAAAATAGACATATTCTGAAATTCTTTATTTTATTTATTTATTTATTTGGGTGTATTGTCTGCATATTGTCTTTGTCATACAAAGCCTATGCAGGCCAGAAGAAGGTGCAGATCTGAACCTGGGTCTTGTGCAAGAGCAGCCAGTGCTCTTAACTGTCGAGTCATGTCTCCAGCCCATGTGATTGGTTTTTTTGTTTATTTGTTTTTTAACAATTGTCTGAAGACTATTCATTGATATACGTAGATGAAGCTCATTAATCTTAACTATTGAAAAAGTGCCCCACTGAATACTACCAAATTTATCTATTCATATATTGAAAGATATGAACTTTGCAGTTACTATACTAACAATACTGCAATAAATGTCTTTGCATATAATTCCTGATATACACACGCAAAAAATCTTACTTGTAAATTTAGAGGATAATTTTCGGGGGAGTATAAATGCATCTTTTCAACTATAATACATATTATTAAACTCTTGTTCTAGGTGCAGTATATGATAGTTTCTGTTTTCCTTGGGCTATTTATATGTGACATAAATCTGTAAAACTTATTGCAATGGATATTAAATGTTTTTTTTCAAATTGTTATTTTCTCCAATTACTAGCAATGTTGTATTTTTTTTCAGGCACTTGGTAGACACAGATTTTCCCTTCAATAAACTGTTGGTTGGCTCCCATCATTTGCTTATCTTTATGTGGATGTGACTATTATGTGTTTGTATGTGTTCATGTCCATGTGGAAAGTATGTGTGTGTGCACATGCACATGTGTTTGCTCATGTGGAGACCACAGGACAACCTCAGGTGTCACTCAAGAACACCATCCACACCTCCTTTGAGACAGACAGAGCCTCTGACTGTCCTGGAGCTCACTCATTAGAATTAGGCTAGACTGGCTGGCCTAAGGGATCTCCCTCTTGTCTTCACCTTCCCAGTACTGGGTTTATAAACACTCCCCATCAGATCCATCATTTTTATGTGGGTTCTGGGGACTGAACTCAGGTCCTTATGTTTGTAAGACAAATACTTTACCAAATGAGCAATCTCCTCAGTCCAGAGTGGGATATTTATTAAATTACAGGAGTTCTTTATATATCCTGGATGCCAACTTACTATATATTTGACTTTGCCAATTACTGGCACCTTTATCTAATTAAAGTTTAAATTTTTATCTTACCCAAATATATATCAACTTTTTCTTTATGATGTAGTTTGTCTTAAGAAATTCTATCTAGCCGGAGGTGGTGGTGCACACCTTTAGTCCCAGCACTCAGGAGGCAGAGGCAGTTGGATCTTTGTGAGTTCAAGGCCAGCCTAGTCCACAAAGTGAGTTCTAGGCCAGCTTGGGCTACAAGGAGACCCTGTCTCAAAAAAAGAAAAAAGAAAAAAGAAAAAAAAAATTCTATCTAGAGTGGAGGCTTAGCAGTTGAGAGCTTACTGTCCTTCCAGATCTCAGAGCCTGGTTCCTAGCACCTATGCCAGGTATGTCACAATAGCCAGTAACTCTAGTTCTGGGGATCCTCTTCTGGCCTCTGTGGGCACCCATACATACATAGTGCCCCCCCAAGTTAAAAATAAATTTTAAAAAAAGAATCCTATTTAGCTAACTGTAACAAAGACATTCTATATTTTATTCTAAAAATTCTGAAGTCATCTTTTCAAATCTCGATCTTTAATTGGGATTTGACTCTGTGTATAGTATGTGTAAAATATATTTTTCTCTCTGGCAACCTGACTGTTCCCTATCTTGTTATGCCAAGTTTCTGTGTACACTTCAATCTGCTCTTGGACTTTTTCTGTTTTATCATTAATCTGTCTACCCTTGAGCAGTATCACACATTGAATTTCTTATATTTATTTGATTACATGACTCTCATCCATTTTCAAAACAGTAACTCTAGTTCTAGTTTTAAAAAATTGTGTGTATGAATGTTTGTCCTGCCTGTGTCATGCAACATCTGCTGAGGTAAGAAGAGGGTGCTGGATCCCCTGGAACGGTCCATAACTAGAGTTATGGATGGTTGTTAGCCACCATGTGGGTGCTGGGAACTGAACTTGGGTTCTCTGCAAGAGCAGTCAGTGCTCTTACCTCTGAGCGATCGCTCTAACCCAACAGTCAATAATTTATGGATATTCAGCTTTCCAAGTAAAATTTTCAATCTTTTTTCCCCCAAATTGCACAGAAGTCCTAAGACTTATATTGGACTATACTGTTATTATAGACTGAATTGGGGGTGGGGGAATATATTCATAATTTGGGTACATTTTAATCTGTTCTTAAACTATCTTGCAATTTTCTCTATAAATATCTTCCATTCTATTAGTCTATGCCATCTCATAGAAGATCTACTGACAGGAAATATTCCTATTATGCATTCTAACTGATTTGTGCTGATATGTGGTGAATTACTGATTTTCTAAGCTGACCTTTCTATTAATCTTCCTGTACTCTTATTACTTTTATAGACTACAGAATGACTTGTATAATCATTCATTTAATATCCATGACATTTCTCCCCCTTTCTGTCCTTTCTGTTTTCTGGCTACACTCTCCAGCACAGATGAAGAGCAGCAGAGACAACAGACATCTTTGATTCCACATGAGGAGCTTTCTGCTAAACCCTTTGAAATCAAGAGTAGTGCTGGTAACATGGGTTTTGTTTTGTTTTTTTCAAAAGATTTTTTTTAACATTTATTTTATTTGGGGGAAGGGGGCCTGCATGCTAAGGTGCACGTGGACATTAGAGGACAACTTGTGGGAGTTGGTTCTTTCCTTCTACCATGGGGGTTCTGGACTGAACTCAGGTTGCAGGCTTGGTGGCAAGCACCTTTACCAGCTGTGCCATCTTGCAGCCTGGTAACATGATTTATTGGTAAATGTACTTCATAATCTTAAGATACTTCTTTTATAGTTGAAGTTTGACATGGCAGAGCTTTTGCATTTCTTTCTGCTAGAAACACCCTTCAAAAGTGAACTTGGGTGCTGAAGAGATGGCTCGATGGCGAAACGTGCTTGCTATGCAAGCATGAACACCAGAGTTCAGATCCCAGCACCCACATAAAAGCTGAGCATGGTCCTGCACAAGCCTGTAACCTCAGCACTGAGGAGGCAGAGACAGGAGGATCACTGGGGCTTGTTGGTTGCCAGACCTGAAAAATATGAGCTCCAAGTTCAGCAAGAGCCTCAAAGGAATAAGTCTGAGAGTGATAGAAGAAGACACTCTATGCCTTCCTCTGGCCTCCATGTCTGAGTGCAGTCCTACACACCCACCCTATATGTGCACATATACCAAGCAGCCTAGCTTGCTTCTAAACTTTGTATTAGAGTTCAGACATTACTTCCTCAGACACCAGAGACCTCTCCTGACCACATCTAGGAAAACACTTGTCCAACTATATATTACTGGTTTCCTACTGCCACTGATACTTATGTCTGCCCAACTCCTTATATTACAGGGCAAGAATTTGGAATCATTTGTTTACTGAGCTACTTAGCACTCACAACAGTACTTGGAAAAGTATGTCTATACATCTTTGTTTAAAAACTAAATTTGAGTTTTGTTCATTCAGGTATTTTTCTCAATTATCACTTTTTATTCTGTTAGCTTTATTGATGCTATTATGTTAATCTTTAATTCAAAATATCCATTACTCATACTTATATT